ATCATGTAGGACAGAAGAGGATGGACACCTGAGGAATTTTCAGGAAGCAGGTTTATTGGGTGCAGGGTTCAGAGGGGTTATCACCTAAAAAATTCTCTGGACCTTGAGTATGGATGTTCTTGGACTTTATACCCAGTGGGAGGAGGGGCTTGAAGGTTTGCAGGACAAGTGCTTTTTGTCCCATGTTTTTATATTAGTCAGAGGTTTTACAAGTTTCACCACAAAAGCAGAAGTAACATCATCAAGTCTGGGGCCGAACTTAGCTTTGGCAAGGCAGAGCAACTTAGTCCTCACCAAAAATAGGAAGTCCTATCCCTCATTGAGGTTTTTTGCAGAAATTTTTGCTGATAAGAACAATTATGGTGAGGGTCTCTGTAGAAGTTTAATTAAGAGTGTTTGGTGGAGGAGGGGGAGCCAGTACAAGATAAGTCACCCTGCAGTGTGAAGAGAGCCAGCAAACAGCAAGAATGCAACTCAAATATCAGGAGAAAGTACTAGGACAGAAGCAAGAGCTAAAGGGCCGCTCACCTACCTCCCGCACCTTGGATCCGTCCTTCCCAAGTGAAAGGTTGAGGCTGGGCATGCAGACCCTGCGGGCTCCAACCTGCCTCTCGGCTCCCCCGCCCCAAGGCCCTAGGAATCCAGATCTCACCCCCAGCCAGTCCTGCGGGGCCCTTCCCTCATCCCCAGTGCAAGCCCCAGCCCGCCCACTTCACAGACCGGGACCGCTCCGGGCTACCTGAACTCAGGTGGCTGCAGCGCGTTCAGCGCCGCTTTATCAAGGCGCTCCATTGTGTCGCCCCGCCAGCCGCAAGCACTCGGCAGCGGGTTGGGCTCAGCGGCCCCTAAGTTCCAGGTCTGCCGCGCCGGAAATGTCCCTGTGAACTCGGTGCAGGGTGAAGTACGCAGGCGCGGCGCAGGGTGTTGATGCAAGACTACGGCGGGCACTGGCCGGGTTCGGTATCAGAGCTCACGTGACTTACCCACGAAGGTTTCGCGGCGTGCGCCCTGCCAGGAGCGGCTTGTTCTGGAGGAGCAGGCCGGGCGAGTAGCCCAGCCACTCCACGTTGAGCCGGGACTTGCCTCGCAGCATACTCCTCCCGGCGGGCGTTGTCGTCGCCGCCCCCTGAGCTCGAGTGAAATCCTCACCAGTCTCAGTCCCGATCGCCCACCGGCCTGAGCGAGGCGACCGGAGCACCGGAGCCGCGGGAAAGACAAGGAAGCAGACGACTGTGGTGCTAGGCAACTAAGCAGTTTCCGACAACAACACAAAAAACCAGTGCACATTATTCCACCTGTACTTGAGCAAACGGGTCATTAATTACTGCCCGCACTGGAAGGGCAGCCATGGGAAGCGGGGAGGAACACTTGCTTTACCACTCACCAGAGGCCGTGAAACTACAGAACCGTCCTGATAAAGCCCTGCTGAGAGAGACTGTTCCAGTCCGGTAGTGGTGACCCCAACTTCCACTCAAAGTTAAAAACATTTTGCAGCTGCTCAGAAAGCCGCCAATGAGACAACAGGGACTCAAATAGTAAGGACAGATGGCAACCCGAGAGAGTTATAAACGAAAAGGGTGTGTAAGCCCAGGGTCAGGCTTGTGAAAATTAGGTTGCCACTGGCTGCTAATGAGAGGACAGCCCTTACATGGGCGACGTCTGGAAACAGTCGCTGACCACACATCTATTTTCTGCACCACAGAAACATAAAGACCACATCTGAAATTATGAGTAAACCTTAGAGCCGTAGACTGTGCAGCAGAAGCCTGGACTTCAAACTTCAGTTTGAATTTAATAATCCCGCTATTAGCCTCATCTCCATCCTTAGGTGGATAATAACCACTTAATATAAGAACTTAGGAAGAGCTCGAAAAATCTACCCGTAGGGTTAACAAATTGTGGCCAGCCAAGTACATATAGCCTGCTGCCTGGTTTTCTACAGCACAAGACCAAACGATTTCCCCCCTGCATTGGTAAGTGGTTGAAAAAAGTCAAAAGAATAACACCTCACAACACATGAAAATTATGAAATTCAAATATCATTGTTTATAAATACAATTTATTGGAATTGAGTCACAGTCATTCATTTGTATGGTCCACAACTACAGTGTTCAGTTGTGCCAGGTGGTATGGTAAACAAAACCTAAAATATTTACTATCTGTCCTTTTACAGGGAAAGCTGGTGGACTTCTGCTGTACACAATCATCCAAGAGAGGCCATTACCCCTATAATGTAGTAATGGGTGAATACAGAGAACAATTTTCTATGTATATTTCATACACACATGTACACACACACACACACACACACACACACACACGCATGGTAATGAACCCAGGGATACTTTACCAGCAAGCAACATTCCTAGTCCTTATTTTGAGATGAGGTCTTACTGCATTTCTGAGCCTGGCATCAAGCTTGCAATTCTCCTACCTCAGACTGCCCAGTCATTGGGACTACAGTCAAGTGCCACCATGCCCGGCCAATTTTACATATTTTTTAAAGACCTAATAATTGAAATGTTTACTTAGTATAAGGCATCAAAAGAAACTTAAAACATCACCTTCCTTTGATATAGCACAATAATTATATCAGATTGATGAGATAATCCTGGTTATCTCATGAGAAAAATACATGAAGTATTGCTAAACTAAAATAAACCATTCAAAATCTGTTAAAACATGGATGGAACCTGGGAGAAGGAACATGTGCTCCCAATTCCTACAATAGGGCCTCATTTACATTTGGCACTCAAATGGGGACACCATTTGTAGTTTTGTTTTGCAATTCCATGATTACTAGAGATGTTAAACTTTTTTCTGATATTTGTTGGCCATTTGCTTCTTTTGAGAAATGTCTGTTTAGTTATTTTGCTCATTTATTGATTGGGGGTTTGGTGCTCAGTTTTTGAGTTCTTTATATATCTGGGTATCAAACCCCTACAGAGGAGTAGCTGGCAAAGATTTTCTCCCATTATGTAAGCTCTCTCTTCATGCTCTTAATCATTTCCTTTGCTGTGCAGAAGCTTTTTAATTTTATGGCATCATACTTATTGATTTAGTTGTGGATGGACACAATACCTTTATTTTATGTATTTATTTTTATGTGGTTCTGAGGATCAAACTCAGTGCCTCACATGTGCTAGGCAAATGCTCTACCACTGAGCTACAACCCCAGTCCTGATTTTTTATTTTATTTCTTGAGTTTTAGGGGTCTTGTTAAGGAGGTTATTGTCTGCACCAATATGTTGAAGTATTGACTGTATGTTTGTTTCTAGAAGTTTATGGTATAATTCCTAAGTCTTTGATACATTTTGATTTAACTTTTGTGCAGGGTAAGATATAGGGATCTAGTTTCATTCTTGTCTTCTATTCTGTTTCATTGTTTTTCCTGTCTATTTTGATGCCAGTACCATGCTGTTTTTGTTACTATATCTCTGTAATATAATTTGAGATCAGGTATTGGGCTGCCTTCAGCCTCACTCTTCTTGCTCAGGATTGCTTTGGCTATTTTGGGTCTCTTATTCTTCCAAATGAATTTAAGAACTGTTTTTTTTTCTAGTTCTGTGAAGAATGTCATTGGTCATGCCTTTTGCTTGGAGACTTTGACACAACAGCAACATGTACTGTGAGCTCACTGAGATATGGAAATAATTTTAAAATAAACTCAGCAGCTGTAAGAGAAGGAAAGAATTTTGCCAGAACTATGCCCCTTAAACAAACCCTGGTTCCTGCTACTGAACCAGTTCTAAAGAATAAGATACAACTAGAGTCCAAATAGAGCTGCTGCCATGGGTATGGAGTGGCATAAACGGGCATGGTTACTACAAAGGGAAACCTTAGCAGTACTCCATTATTCCTCCAAGAATCAGAAAATGATTCTCAACTGAAAGAATCCCAGTCTATCACTTTCACTTTGGTTTGGAAAATTGAGAACTAACAATGGAAAGTGACTTGCCCCTATCACTTGGGTCAGTGATAGGATTAGATAATTTATAGTCCCTAAATCTCAGTTTAGTGCTTTCTCCACCATATTATTTTAAATTTGTGTGCTAGTAACCTGGTAACATGTAAATTATGCACCTAGAGTGATCTTGAATCACCCTCTAATTTGCCTTACTGACTCACAAAATCATACTCTCCTGCAATTCCTTTTTGGGTTATGACTGTGAAGTTTAGATAAAATAGGCACACTTGAAACACCACCTGGTACTTTTAGAAACTTATCCTTCACAGTCTGGCATTTTAAAAGTTAATAGATAAGGAAAATGGAAATAAGTTTCACCAAACAATCAACAAACCTTGTGCTAAAAACATGAGAGAGATAATAACTCTAGTTTCTTTATAATGTAGAATATGGTGTCTTTTTTTCTCAAAATACAAACTAGTAAAATATGTAACATTTTTATCTAAGGGAAAACATAAAGGTTCACTATAGTAAAGAGTCCACTGTCATAATCTCCTGGTCAATGAATTGCATGTGTTAAACAGTGTACAATTTATATGCCATCCCTATTTCATAGATGGAAAAACTGAGGCTAAGGAAAATTTGAGTTTGTTGAAGTTCTCACAGCTCCCCTAGTCTCTTGATCCTTTGCTCTAAAATTTATATCAGGCAATCCCTTCCAGCTTTCTGTTCCAGAAAGTTAAGCTCAGATCTTAAAACTAGTGAGACCATGAGCTAATGCAGCCAGGGAATACTCAGTGTCCATGGATCAGGACTATTTTTACCTAGCTGACTTTCTACACACACTAATAGATCCCTTGGAAAGATAAAATAGGCACTGGAACCCAGAAAATGGCCCTGTTGTCTGTCCAGCATGGTATGGGATCAGCCCAGATCCCATGGCCCCTAACACACCAAGGGTTTGATACAAGGAGAGGATCCCTTCCTGAAATGTGGCAGGACCTTAGCTGCCAACTGCATGTTGGCCCAAGTACTTTCCAGATGGGCTTGTCACCACAGGCTATATCATGGGAACAGGGACTATGACAAGGGCCCCTGAGGATTGATGTGATAGGGCCACACCCCAAAATATACACATGTGCTCAACAAGGCCCCATTCAGAGGAGGTTTGAGCAACTGGTTGACTGAATGAAAGTGCGAGTCCCAACCAGAGCCCAGGAGCTCAGGGAGTAATGTTCACAGAGCAATTTGCGTGTCCAACACTGGTGACCTAAAAGTATGGTTTCCAGGAGATCTTCCCAAACTCCAAGTGAACAGGGCAGGGTGGCTCTAATTGGTCCAGGGCGGGACAGGGAAGCTGTGCCCACTCAAAGCCCAACATGATGGATGTAGGCTTGACAAGGAACCAGCTGCTGTCTGGGTGCCCCTCCTGTAAAGTGGGACTCCAGGGTGAAATCTTGGTTTCTAGCTCCCCATCCCATGGGTGCTGGCATCCCCACCCTGATCTGTACTCCAAATATTTTGTGAATAAATAAATACATAGTTGATGAATGAGTGACTGCGTTGAAAGAAATCTAAGGAGAAATCCAATGCATTAGCAGGATCACAATGCCAAAGAGCTATAGATGCTGTTTTGGATTGTTTTTCCTTCTCTGTTTTTACATTTCCCATGATTGAGTTGAGAAAAAAAGTTAGAAACAATGGAGAAGGGCAGATCTAAGGATACAGTGACCAAAGTTCTGATAGAAACTTTGAGGTTTCATAGAAAAGGGGAGCAAAGGCAAAGGTTGAATGCTTCCATGACTGAAGGTTTTGTGTAGTTGCAAGAGTAAATCATCCCAGTCAGGCCAAAATCTGGTTGATCATTATCTTAGGACTGGTTCTGTGACGTTCTAGGAAGATCACTGCTTGAAGGGGTAACTCAGTATCTATTGTGAGATGATTGCTCCTGATTTTGGGGGGCAGTGTTGGCTTCATAATGGGATAATATCTCCTGTGTATGGAGCAATCTTATCCTGGACTGGTCTGCTCTGCAAGGCTCATAATTGCCTGAAGGTAGTTTTAGTCCTTATCAGAAAGATGGTTATCAGTTGGACCTGTTGTTCTTGGAATCTGAGATAATTGCAGAAGGAAGTAGCTCAGAGAGAAAAAATGTTAAGAGACAAATGGAGATAGTGACAATATATAGGTGATTAGGTCATTGACTGGGCATTCCTTCAAAGCCACTACATTTTGCAGACTCGACAATTTTGCAATAGGCAAAAGCAGAAGTTAGGCCCAACTAGTAGCAGGAAAATGGGAAATCAGACATTGTCTTCCTTGGTGATTCTTTTGGAGAAAGATAGCCCTCAGGTCCTGGAGGAAACATTCTTAATGCCTGAGAATCACAAGAGGCTTGTTGAGTCATTGAAAAGATTTATATACATTTAAAAAGAACAGAGAAATTCTCAATAAAAAGGAAGGGAAGAGGCACTTATTTTTCAATGTAAAGGATTGAGTCTCTTAATTTGTATTTGCCTTTACAACATAAATATGCTAAAAGCCAAGAAGTATGTTTATGTGTGTGTGTGCACGTGTGCATTTGCACACACACACACACACACACACACACACACACACAGGTACCATATGTGTCCATTCATGCTGCTAGGTCAGGTCCTACCCAATGTAGCTT